GTACTTTAATAAAATAAGATAGTTTTAAAATATTTTTTTTCTTAATTTTTATTTAAAATTTGGTTAACAAACACTAATATATATTTTTTATATTAATAAATTATAATTCAGACATTTTTTAAAATATAAAAAGAATATATGTTTCTTAGTTATCCCTTATAATATGTTTAAATTGAGAAAAATAAAAGGAAAAAGAGAGTAAAATAAAATTCTTTATAATATAGTTATCAAAAGAATTAAAGAAAAGGAGAGGAGAAAATATATATTTATTTTATTTTTTAAATTTAATTATTTATCCAGATCTCTTTTCTTCCATTCAACTTAAATATAAGGTTAATTTAATAAAAATTATTAATACTTAAATTTACTTATTAAAATTTAGCTTGTTTATATTCTTGAGTTCTTTGTTTTGTAATCCACAAAATTGCAAAGTAAAAAGATTAGATGAGAAATGATTTTTCATATTAAAAAGTTTATTTTTTACTAAGTAAATTATATTATTTTACAAAAGGAATTTCAATTGCCGGTAACCAAACGTAACCTTACGTGCCGAAACCGTGTAATAGAAGCCGACTCACAGAGCACTACTCTGCAGACTGCCTGAAATGGGGACGGAGAATTCATCTTCATCCCCCAAATATATAAATCCCCTTTTCATCAAAATCGATGCTTCAGGCCTCACTCCAATTGCTCCGCTTTTGATCCCCCACCCTCGACTCGTCGGCAAGTTGCCGTCTTTCTTATCCCTTCACTCTTTTTTCAATTCCCCTTGGAGGATTTTCATTTTCTTTGAAATTTTTCTTCGGCCTTTTGAATTTGGTTTGGGTTTTTATTTTTTTTTTTTCTCTTTGTAATCCATGAAGGTTCTTTGGAATCTGGTTCTTCTTTTGTTCATAGCGATTGTGTTTCTGTTTCTGCTCCGGGTGGTTTTATTCAAGACAGGGTTGATTTATACTGTGAAGAAATGGTGGAGATTTATAGAGGATTGCTTCCATGTCTACCAGTTCTTGAAGGTTCCGGAGTTCAACAACGGGATGCAGGAGAATCAGCTTTACCGGAAGGTTTGTGTTTATCTGAATTCGCTTGCCTCAATTGAGGATTCGGATTTCACCAACCTTTTCTCCGGGAAGAAACAGGGTGAAATCGTCCTCCGTCTCGATCCCAATCAAGTGGTTGAAGATAATTTCCTTGGGGCGAGGATTTGTTGGATTAACGAAGAGACAAGTAGGAACAGAACGTTTGTGTTGAAGATTAGGAAAGAGGATAAGAGAAGAATTCTCCGGCCGTATCTGCAACACATACACACAGTGGCCGATGAACTTGACCAGAAGAAGGACTTGAAACTGTATATGAATGTCGGTCGTGATCAGAATAGCAGCGACGTACGGTGGAGATCCGTTGCCTTCACACATCCGTCTACTTTTGAAACGATTGCCATGGAATCGGATCTCAAGAACAAGGTGAGATCCGATCTAGATTCGTTCCTCAAAGCCAAACAGTACTATCACCGGCTCGGCAGAGTATGGAAGCGGAGCTATCTCCTGTTTGGCCCATCTGGTACCGGAAAATCCAGCTTCGTTGCGGCCGTGGCTAATTATCTCAGTTACGATGTCTACGAATTGGATCTATCAAAAGTCTTAGACGATTCAGATCTCAAATCTCTATTGCTGCAAACCACGAGCAAATCGGTGATCGTAATCGAGGATCTTGACCGATTTTTGATCGAGAAACCGACGGCGGTGAGCTTATCAGGCATACTAAACTTCATGGACGGAATCTTAACCTCCTGCTCCGCCGAAGAGAGGGTGATGGTGTTCACAATGAACAGCAAAGATCACGTTGACCCGGCGATACTCCGGCCGGGTCGAATCGACGTTCACATCCATTTTAAGTTATGTGATTTCACGGCGTTTAAAACGCTAGCCAATAGCTGCCTCGGGCTCAAGGACCACAAGCTGTTCCCTCAGGTGGAGGAAATTTTCCAAAACGGCGCTAGCTTGAGCCCCGCCGAGATCAGCGAGTTAATGATAGCGAACCGGAATTCGCCGAGCCGAGCCTTGAAATGGGTAATCAGCGCGCTGCAAACGGACGGTGATGGGAGGGGCGCTGGGAGCGTCGGACGGCGGTCGTGCGACAACGGTTCGAAGAGAACGGGCGAAGAAAGTGGTGAACCGAGCGGGATGTTATTTAGGGAAGGTACACATCCGGTGAAGGAATTCAGAAAGTTGTACGGTTTGCTGAAGATAAAAAACAGCACAAAATCTCAACCGTTTGATCTAGCCGCTGGTCAAAATGACCGGTGATGATAAGCTTTGATTAATAGTATTTGCATAAATTTCCCAAAAAAAAAAAGAAAGCAAAAGAAAAGAGAACATGATTAACAGGAAAATATTAAAATCCTGAATTCTGTTATATTTGTCTCTTTTTCTTCTTTTTTTTTCTTTTCCATTGTTGTTCAATTCATAGTTCGTTTTGAAGTGTTAGTAGTGTTTTATTAGGATGTTAGGATACATTAACATGTACATAGTTGATAGTTGCATTAGATTTGTGATGTATACTTGATTTTGCAAAAGGATTAATTTGGGTTCTTTGTGAATATTAATTTCTTTCCTTGGTGTGATAGTTTGTTTAATTGTATGTTTCTTTCTCTTTGCTTTTCTTCTTTTTGTTTTTTCAAAAGTTAGTTGGAATGTTTGTTTTGAGGGAAACAAATCGTATCTTTTCATTTTTTTTCTCCGCTCTTTATTTAGACAAGTAAAGAAATTAAAAAGAACTTGATTCATAGAGATGAGTGGCGTCTATCACTTTTGTAAAGTTCACTTTTTTTTGATCAACGATTCAATTTGACCCAATAACAATTGTTCAAAAAAATAATAATAATAAAGAAATTAGAAGTAAAAAGTTTCTCTCCCCTGCCCTCTCCTCTAATCTTTTTAGAAACCAAATAAAAAAAATTGTCTTGTCTCCCTTCTCATCAAACCAAAGAATTCCTTTTAGGAAAAACCCTGTAAATAGGGCTTCAAACATTTTTATTATCAGCAATATAACCCTTCTAATTGTTTTTTTTTTTTTTTTTTTTTTTAACTGCCTTAACTTCTCGACTTACATAAATTTGATCTAAGTGAAGTATATATCAAGTTCTCGTGAGGTATGCGACCATTGTTTGTGCACTGTTAGTCTTACAGTAATGCGTAGCTCTTTTACAATGCGACAATTATTGCATGAGGAGAATTCGACATATTTGTATACAAGAAAGTAGAAAATTTGGTCTCTTTTTTTAATAAATATGGTAAATTCCGACTTAGAAATGTGATATTAATTTCTTCACATGCAAAAGTGCCACGATAGGAAAAAAAAAAAAACTCATTTATAAGGTAACCAAAAAATTATTGTATAATTCAAATTGTACAACTTACACCGTTAAATTAATATTAAAAGTTATTTCTCATCCAATGATTTTCCTTTTATAATTGAGATTGCAAAATTAGGAAATTATAAGGTAATGACTCACTAATGTAGCAAGTAATCTTACGTGGGGAAAACAGTGCCCCCACCCCATTAAATGTTGAAAATTTTTAAGAAATAACTAAATTATTCAAAACTTGTCCTTGATGTTTCTTTAAAAAAAAAAAAAAAGAAAGAAAGAAAAAAAGGAGTACCCCACAAAACAGAAAACTTGCATCCATCTTTGCACCATCTTCACAATCCATTTTGGATGGGTTACTATGAGTTAGAAATTTTGAGGAACTGTTTTGTCACAATATAAAAGCTATAAATGCCCAATTGTTGATGGTGAAGAAATTTTTAAGAGCTTAATTTGGAAGTTAATTCTTCTTCATTTTATTCCTATTTTCAGTGCAATAAAAGGTGATAAGGACAGCCAACAATGTTTTCTGGCTCTCATAGCTCATCATTTTTGATAATGTGATTGTGGTCTCTTTTTAGTGCATGAGGTGGGATCACAAGGGAATAGAAAGAAAGAGATTTCAAGATTCGAATATCAAAATATGAGATACCGAAAGCCACTTGCTTTCAATCCATATGTGTATTGAGAGGTCCCTGTAACACTAACACATTTGGTGGAATTTTTTTGTCCTCTAATATAGCCCTTGGAGCCTCAAGCCGCCAAAGAAATAAAATCCCAAATTGCCAATTGCCACTACTCAGATTCAATGTAGATATCAAAAACAGGCAAAAAAAAAAAAAAAAAATCTTCCTCCTGCCGACCTGCATGCCCAAATTAACAGCCACTTGGTTCTTGTCTGGAAAGTGTCAAGTGAGTGACTTTCTTTTAATTTTGAGGAATGCTATGGATACTCGGCTATTCTGTACAAAATTGGAATCTGATGAATTTATAAAAAAAAAAAAAATTTACATTTTTTTATTTTTGGAATCAGGTAAGATTGCTCTTTAATTTTTGATAATGATAGGTACTGGCTTATTTTCGGGTAGTTATCTTATAATTAATTGTGTAATTTTTTTTTATTTTGATTACATAATAAAAAATAATTATTTTTTATTTTTTATTTTACTTTATCTGTATATCATGTAATTTAAATTTAAGATCTCTTATTTTTAATAAAAAATAAACACTAAATTATTTAAATCGTTGATATTAATTATATAATTTAAAATTTTATTCTCTTGTAAAAACAGAAATACAGGAACTTATTCTCTCACAAATTTTATGTCCTCATCATCACCCGCGCCAGTTTCTTAACAAATCATTAGGTGCATTCCTTTTTAGTGGCTATAATTATGGTGGGGCTGTATTTTAGTACGGCCAGCTGGTCCAGCTGAGATGTACTAAATGTTCGCTCTTCATTGCCGTTGCTTCAACGTGGCTCAACAAATTGCGCGGTCGACAATGATAACTTCATAATATTACGTAGAATGGCAAGTTATATGAAGTAAATGTAAAACGATATTTCCCCACACACAACAAAAAAAAAAAAATGTAATACGATATTATGAATAAATTTTTTAATAAAAAATAAATTATATAATAATATATTAAATTTACAAATTTATAATATTACATAATATAATAATCATGTTCTTTTTATCATCGGCTAGCAAGTGTTCATCCATTATCTGTTAGGTTTTGTGATCAGTTGTCCCAGCAATGATGCACCACTTTGAGTAATCATTGACTTTCATCACTAATTTAAATATATATATATATATATACTCAAACAACACTTTTACACGAAAAATGTCTCTAATTAAATAGTTATATCTACACCTGTAAGTTTGGTAAGAGGCAAGATTATAATTAAAGTTGTGGGGATTTTATGCTATTTGTTAGTAAAGATTCAAAATTTTGCCATCCTAATTCGGAATTTTTCCTCATGAGTAGTTCCATAAAATATACCTAACTCATCATGATTGCTATTTTAGCTTGATTTTTAAGGATGATAAGTGAATTGAATGTCATGTAGTCCAACAAACTTCAAACTTTTGTCCCCCATTAATTAATAAACATAGAAGGGTAAAAATAAAAATGAAAATGAAAGATGCCTTTTATATCATTGAATTAGTAGATTTTGAGTTCTACCTGAAAAAGCTTTAGTCTTGTTACATATGCAATTATTTGCTATATGGTAGTGCAAGTTTGGTTGATGCATTGTTCTTACCAACCCTTATTTTCTTATATACTACAATATTCTTGTTTCTTACCAACTTACTAAAGTCAAGGAAATGAAATCTATTTTTTAAGAGCCTAATAACAACAATCATTGTCAAGTTTTTTTCTTTTCTTTTCTTTTCTTTTTTATAATTTTTAAGGGTTCAATCAAAATTCACTTTTGTTGACAAAAATACAAAATCAGACTTCATTTTTGAGAATCTTAGCCTAGTGGTCGAGGACGTTTCTGTTGTCACGATTTCTAGAGGTTACAAATTCAAATCTCAAGTTCTCATGTCTGTCTGTCATAAAAAAATCAGAATTTACTAAAAATATCTTAAGGGATTATAAATTTTCTTGTGGACTTATAAGAAAAAAAGTGGAAGAATATCTGTAAAATTAATTAATTACCCAATGAATTAACATGCAAAAAGAATTTATTAAGAAACCATTCATTTTTTTATTTTTAATGGTTAAGATTTATTACGATTTTTATAAGAAAAAATAATTAGTTTTATTAAATATGAATAAAATTCAGTCATTAAAAGTAAAAAAATGAATGATTGAAATCTTGTATAAGTGTAGTATATAAAATTTGTATGTAAATAAATTTTTACTTCATTAAAAGAAAGATATTTAAATAATTTCAAAGATATTTTTACATCCTTTTTTCTTGTAGATGGATTGAAAAACACTTTTATGATATTCTAATTACTGGAGGTTAAAATTTTAGAAGGTAAACAGTGATTGGACCAAGTGAGTCAGCCTGTTTGTTTGTAAAGAGATTGTTGGGACAAACCCAATTCAGCCCATAAAAGATGATGGGGTTAGCGATTACAAGCCCATTTGAACAAAAATCATTTCTGGCCCAAATTTTTACACAATGAAATTACGAGATACATCTCTAAATTCTCAATTCTCAATCTTACTCCGCCTTGAGGGAAAATATACACGGCCCAAAATACAAAAATCATTAACGTAATACACGGCCCAAATACAAACAACACCAGAGGGAAAATACATTTGTTTATAAACTTAAAAAAAAAAAAAAAAGAAGAAGAAGAAGAAGAAGAGGTTGTGAAATTTAGATCAAACTACATAATTTTAACAGAAATATGAAAATCAGTACGTATTAGTATTAAAGACGTCAATCACAATAATTTGTGAGTGGATTCTATTCTTAAGACCCATTCAAAATAATGACTATGATAAACATTTTAAGTATCAAAATCTCTTGATTTTTTGGATTTTTTAATTTTAATTATTATATGAAAATAAACTTTTGATAATTGAGATTTTTTTTTAATTTTATAATTTCAATTTTATAATAAAAAACGAAGCTGTCCGAATTGAAAAACACCACCGAAAACTCTAAAGTAATCAACAGGAGCAGGAAGATAATTTCTTCATCTCACTGATTTCCAAATCCGACCCTGAAATCACATCAATCTTACTTCCCTTGAGCGCCGTGGCTTGATCACCGCCGTTGGGCTTTTTGTCGGCACCTTCCAACGTCTTACGACAAATCACACCATAAATTTCCTCCAGCAAAATGAAAAACGCTTTGTCCACGTTTTCACCGCTGAGGGCGGACGTCTCGGCGAAAAACAGGCCCTGATCCTCCGCGAACTCCACCGCGTGTTCGGTCGGAACCGCCCTGAGGTCCACTAGGTCCGCCTTGTTTCCAATCAACATGATAACGATGGAACTATCGGCGTGGGCCCGGAGTTCCTCGACCCACCTGGCCACATGATCGAAACTCTGTCTCTTAGTGATGTCGTAAACCAGCATGGCCCCTAATGCGCCTCTGTAGTATGCGCTCGTAACTGCCCGATACCTAACCACATTAATTTTCTAAACGTTATTGATGAGCATTTCTCATTCATCATAAATTCATAGCAATTAATAGAAAACTCATGGTGCATGACTT